ACTTTTCAAGTACAGGAAGAAAGTAGTGTATTTCTTGCTTTTAACGTGCAAAGGAAATTAAGTCCTAAAGAGGAAAGTGTCTGTCTTAGATCTCCAAATGAGCAACAACTTAATCCATGTCAAAAAGGTGCTGTTACAACCTGCTTCTGCCATTATCAGATGGAATTCCTAAGAACCAGAAAATGTGGGAAGGGGTTGTGCTGACACTGCCTGTTGCATGGTCTGCACCTGTACTGTTAATGACCAATTCCCATCAAAAGTACAATGGCTTTCAGCAATTTTCTAAAATGTAGGATTGCAGGACCAACTTCCAAAGAGGATTAAACTGCACCTCTCCATGCCAGTGTAATGAAGCTTTATTTTCAAAGACTGCTGTAACCCTCCAGCAACTCCAGTACTATCAGGCTGTAGGATCAGAAAGACACTTCCTTTATGTTTTAGTTTGCAGCTGGTGCAGGGATTTCCAGCATATCCTGTGGCGATTTTACTTGACACCTTTTCTACAGTGTGTATTTGCCAAACTTAAATAGTAGAGAAGGGAAGAAATAATTTGATGCCGGTTGTGATTTTAGAACATGACAGCTTAATGAACATCATAAAACATTACCTAATGCTGTTTCTGTAAATTGTATCAAAATATTGACTGTTTGGATGGTTGCCAGGGTGAATTTTATTTGGGAAACATTTAAAATTCCTCTCTTTTTCTTCTATTTTTAAAATATTTTATAGATAAGAGCAGAATGGAATCCAGTTTAAAATGATGCGTCTTTTTAGACTAGGTAATGCAAATAAGGCTGACTGTTTTCTAGCACATCCATTTTATTTGGACAGTCTTAAATTTAAGTTAATAGTGATAGGTGAAACTATTTAAAAGATCTTGTAAGATTAAAAAAATCAATTTCCGAAAAAAGAAGTGCATGAAGAGAGGTGCTCTGCAGAGGGAAGGATTTCAATAAGACACCATTTGGTTTAGTTCCAGTTTGTGTATTAAACAGTCACTGCAGGTTAAGCTGGAGGGTGAGTTTGGAGTTAACTGCTCTGTTTTGATGCCATGTAAGTATATTTCTTGAACAATTAGTGCATCTTTCAACCAGAAGGAGCTACCTCACACAAAGCACCAAGTAAGTACCTTGCCTAGGTGTGTGGCAAAAATACTTGCACAAGGGAAGATGTCCATGTGTGGTAAATTCACCCTTTGCTTGTTGAACCCTAGTTTCCCTGACAGTTGTGTATATAATGGTGCAACACCACTACTGTGGAAAGATTTAGATTATGTTAAAGACATAACCTTTCTAACTCTTTCCTTTAAAGTTAAATAAAGACCAGACAACTGGCAGGAGGCTGGCCTGATTGAGAGACTCAGCACCCTGTTCCCTTCCCTGCAGGCATCACTCTTTCATTGCCAGAGGAATCGCAAGCATCAAATTTACTCCTAACCTGGTGTCTGTGACTAAATGGGAGCAAAGTGGCAGTATGGGCCATCCATACAGATCCGGTGGCAGTGGAGAGTTAATGGTGTCTTCCTTAGAGTGTGTATTTCTTACCTGTCCTGTGCTGCTGCTGACTGGATGGTGCTGTTCTGACAGCCTGGCATATCCTACAGCTTTCATGTCAAACTTTGAAAGTTGATGGAACTATTACTGCTA